TTGCCAAACAGTGGGACACCAAATGCTTATACAAGCGATGATAAATGATATTGTTTTAAAATTGCTGAGAAGTGAATTACGCTCCCTCAGTGGGTGCAGTTTTCTCGTCCTACTCAGCGGGTAAACAATGCAAATAATTCAGGTAGAACTCGGAAGACAAACCCTGACTGTAGCTTTCTCTCAGTTTTACCATCCTGTAGCTTGTGTCTCGTAATTACTGGAGCGATGCTGTTAGAGCTCCACGTTCTGCACCAGTCAATAGCTTTTCTGCTAATTCACTCCCTAAACAATCAACTCATTTAAACTCCTCTCTCAACGAAATGAATGGAACTTGGCACTGATATAGATTTTCCTGGGCTGACCCACTCATAGCTGCTTCATAGATGTGGTACCAAAATAAAGTCCAATAGTGTGTCACACCAAACTCTAAAGATGTGAATTCACCAGATTTTGCAAATTGTGAAATGTGAGAATTTTTACTACACACCCAAATTATGTAACAAGTTTACAGCCATGCTAGCGGCTCTGTGAGGCACAGTGGTGGTTTGAGCTACGATGACAATGCTAACATGCTGATGTTAAGCAGGTATAATATTGACGATGTTCACCGCGTATTGGCCAAATTGTATTGTTGACCTGATGAGGCTAGATGAAAACCAAAGTAATTATAACTCATCTTGTCATGGACGTAAACGTGTGTACCAAATTTTATTGCAATCCGTCTGATAGTTAAATTGTTTAGATAGTTGTCCGGACATTTCAAGCAAAATCTCATGGTGGCACTAGAGAAAAGGTCAGAAGGTCACCAGAGTCATTAGGCTTCACTCCCTAGTAACAATGGGTGTCTGTACCAATTTGGTGCCAATCCATCTAGTAGATGTTCAGATATTTCAGTAACAGGAGTAAAAACGTTGACCTGCTGGTGGCGCTACAGGACACTTCAAGATATCACCAAAGTTATTTGGATTCATCCCTTGGGCATCAAAAATGTCATTAAAATCCATCAAATAGTCGAGCTATTTCAGTGTGGACCACAGTGATGTGCCGCCATTGCCTTCCATAGGCTCATGTTGTTAACATGGCTAAAAACACTCACATGCACATGTCAATTCAATTGTCTTGACATTCAGGGGCCGCTACTTTGAGTGCTCCAGATGCTGTTCCGTTGTTTATGGGGTTAGCTATGAAGAACAAGGAATAAAAATAACATCAACCTCTCAGTGGGTTTCTCGGTTTCCCTATCTTACTTGACCACAGGGACATTCAATTCTTTATAAGGCTCAGTGGCATTCCCATCTGGACGGCGGAACGACAGTAGTTACACATGCATAAGTATGACACATGAAACGAGATACGACCAGGGATTACTTAGAATGGTATAGATAATTTAGAAAATGCATGAATTATGCATTAAAGATGTATGAATTATATACAGTGCATGCGGGGCATGTGCAGACTCAAAACGTTTTAATCCACTTAGTGAAGCTCAGGCTGGACACGAGTTATGTTCACCGCATAAGATGATCTCTGACCAAATGGCCACCAAGTGCATTCTGACATTTCAAGCAGGTTGCTCATTTAAACTGCCATCTTTTCACTGTTCCCTGCAGCTTCTCCTGCTGCTGTTCTCCGTCCACCATCCCAACTTCCTTCATGTTGGGATTGTCAGGCTCTACGGGGGTTGTCTGTTGAATTTATGTTTTCAGTATCTCGCATGTGAATCTGCTGGGTGCTCTTCTACTGTATTAATGCTGTGGGGGTTTGATGGCGCTCCCCATGGAATCTGCAGTGTGCAGCCTGGAAATCTGCAGGGAGCAGCCAAGTGAGCAAAACATGTATCACTAAATGCAACTGTAAAGCCATTTCCCCCATAAATGACTCTGACTGCATTACAAGTGTGTCCCTTACTGAATATACAGTGGGGAATGCTTTTTTGAGCTTCATTAAGTGTGTTTGTGGGTTGGTGTGTGTGTTTGCAGCTGTGTATCGTGTGTACACAATGCAGGCTCAGCAGATTCCAGCCTTCACAGACTATTGGCTTGTACAACAGCATTACTCTCCTCTTTAATATCTTCAGTTAATGCGAGTCTCTGGCTAATTGAAAATGAACTAGTCTAAGTCTCCCTGCAGTGCCTTTATGAAGCTGTTAAAGAGACACACGCACCTTTTCGATGCAGGACAAACATCTGAAACCTCCTACTGTAGGCAAAGAATAGCTTGCTCTGGTGAATAAATCAATACATTCTTTAGTGCAGAGGCGCTATAGGTGAAGCTGTGGTACTTTTATTCCTTGCCAAAAAGGAATGGCTGATAAATCAGGAATATGTGGAGATAAAACCACACATAAAGCCAGTGCAGAGCACACGTCTCCAGTGGCAATGATTTACAGCAGGCTGAGCTAAACTGCTTACCTTCAGGAGCTGTAATGGATGCCAGCGTCTGCTCTTAATTTCTGTGGCTGGGGATAGATATTGCTGCTGTTATTTTCTCCCAAGGCAATTTCACTGATGTCTCCCAAAGTACCCTACTGTGTTATATTTGAACCATATGGGCACAAAATGGTGCAATTAAAAACACGCTGAAAGCCTCTGAAATGTATCACTAAGACGGGCAATTTTGGTTTCAATAAGCAGTGTGATATACAAAATGTCTACTGTGTCTTCTACTGTGGATATCATATGCTGATCACGCGCTGAGAGAAGAAGATAAAAAAAAATGTGTAAGAGATAAGCTGGAAAATTTAGAATAGAAAAAAATAGATATAAACTGGAAAGGTGCACTCAGTAGAGTGCAGCCCCTGCCAGGTGTGTCTGCAACCACCATTGCTGTATTGTGTGATTGAATAATTACAACCCACAATTGGGTAACCCCCCCCCCCTAAACTCTTATCAGCTGTAAGGAGTAGTAAAACACTCTTCATTCAAACTCAAAAACAAGCAAACACATCTTGTAAAAATCTAAATTAAACCCATCAAGTGGTCTGCCCGCTTAGACGAGATACAGCAGTGTACAATAACAGTTCTGTTACCTGTTAGCAGTTAGCCAAACACACTGTCTAAAAGAACAAAAGTGAGCCGCAGAGCAGCAAACGAGAGGTACTTGAGCATGCAGCAACAACCTGCACCCAAAATAGTATGCAGGTTGCTGCAGGAAAATGCTAGATTAGCCGTGGACAGACACACAGGTGCACACCCACTCACTCACTCACTTGCTTGCTTGCTTGCTCATGGACGCGCGCATCTCCTGCTGGCAGAGATAATAGAAGTTGTAATTAGACTGTTGGGCTAAAGGATGTGGGCTCTTAAATATGCGATGTGCAAAGTAAGGGAGTAAGGGACTATCACTATCTTACACACGCAATCAAACATCTTCTTTATGTCTGACGTCCTCTGGTATCAGTGCTACTGTGAGCATGCATATTGAGGAACAGAGTTATTTACAACTTGCAGAGGCTTTGGCAAGTCATCAGAAAAAGAGGCTTACATAAGCTGCACTATACTTTATGGATGTGCTGCAACAGGTTTGCCTCCAGATAGTGTTCCCTCCTGCCACCTGCTGTTTATGGAGCCCATTGCAGCTTCTTGAATGTCACTTGTCCTCAGACTGGTTCAGCTCTTTCCTGCTCTGATTGAGTGCAGATCTTTGCTTGTCAGAAGAAACCAAACATGCATCCATCTGCAGCAGAGGATAATGCATGTTAATTGTCAACAAAAAAAGGGGTCAAGCTGGCCGTTAATCAATTTCCCATTTTCAGTGGGACAAGAGAGAGAAAGAAAGCAGACCATGTCTCCACCCCACCATTTCCAAATGCTGTACTACCAAAAACCAGTGTAATACCAAACTACACCACAAGGTGAGGGCGTGAGAGAGCCGTTATCACCTGTGCATGTGTAAAGGATGATGCAAGAGTTTCTATGATATGCAGGTCTCTTATATAACCAGTAGATGGCATCAGCAGTTTAAGATTAACACTTGTGGTCACAAAGCTCGCTATCAACATAGAGAATATGAATAGCTGTTAGATTAGATATTGCAATTGTAAATACATCAAGACTAAAATAATGACATTCACCTGGCTTGCCATTTGAACATCAATGGCTAAAGGAAAATGTGATGTCATTATTTTGATTGGAAAGGAATGGTTTGTATTTTATAGAAATTGCAGGTGTCTTATGACGCAAGAGGAAACGAAAGAATGCTGGTATATCACATGAGCCTGAAAAAAAGTGAGAAACACTCTTATGACGCCAAAGACAACTCAATGCACAGATTGCAATGGAAAACAATTTCAAAAACAGTCCATGTGAGTGGCTTTGTGTCATACCTCCCCTCTGTATGAGTGAGTAATCAGGGCCTTAATTGGACAAACAAGATGAGGAAGTTTCAGTGGCCAGCTGGCATATTCAACTCAACATGGCCGAGGTAGAGGCTGACATGGCCTTGCAGTGAAATCAGTTTCTCTGATGATACATCACCCTGGTTTCTTGACTGGGCTTCAATGAATGAATGAACAGCTTTATGGCCGTGTGTTTCTGTAAAATGAATGAATGGCTGTGGAGGCTATCTCACTGTGTGACAGGCCCGTCCACTGTGACCGATGGCCGTTAACTAGGTTTAGGGTCCTGCCTCTCCTCCCACGCCCCACTGCTGGCTGGGCTGGTTGACCGCTCTTTCGCTATTTTTATTCCCGTGGTGCTGTTCCTGTTTTTCAGTCAGCCAGAGGAGAGCAGAGGTGCGGGCGTCTCTCATCACACCCACCTCTCTCTCTCTCTCTCTCTCTCTCTCTCTCTCTCTCTCTCTCTCTCTCTCTCTCTCTCTCTCTCTCTCTCT